AGCACTCTTCTGTAGTAGGAATATTGCCAGCTACACCTTCTGATGAGAAGTGCATACAACCATACGAAAAATACTCTCTAATTGATCTATCCATTCTTCAACCACCGCTGGCTTAAGATTTCCATCGAAAGTAGGAGGATTAAACTTATGAAAAGTACTCCAGATCTTTGTGATCGTGGATGTCTGTTGTTCAAAGTGGAGACTCACATTCTTCGAACTAGTCTCATGGTGAGAATAGGAAGGTGAGTTTTCATCAGCAGATTGGCTCACATTGTATACCTTAGTATGGCTTCCTTTTTGTTGGCCATTTTCCTGTCGGTTGGCATTCTCCTTATATTGTCTTAAAGTGGCCAACTTTTCTTCTTGCCTCTTCATGCGGTCACTAAGATTTTGCAGTAGATCCATCATTTGCCTCATGGTTGGCTCACCCTGCCTTAGTTGTGGCTGTATGGGCTCGCCCTGCCCCATTTGTTGCTGTGTGGGCTCCGGTTGTGGCTTTAAAGGTATGTCATTTCTTATTGGCTCTATAGAATCACCGGCAATTTCGCCACCTCTTCTAGTTTTGGACACCATCTCTCCCCTCCTAAAGGATGGAAGTCACATAATTAAGTCAACACTAATCTCAAGACAAGAAAAATAATAGAGAAGCATTATAATTTAATAATGTATATTGCCAATAAACTAGGTTAATGTATAACAATTTCATAATTTATAAGAATTTGAAACATGTAGCTCTGATACCAAGATTTATAACACACCAAAATTTTTTTAAATAATTTAACTCAACCATAGTTGGGTTACAGCCACCCAACACATTTTATATCAATAATTTTAATATAAAAATATTTTATAATTGGCTTCATTTCACACAATACAATATTTCAGCTAAATTTTTACCTCCCACATGCCATTAGGCTAAATCACATTTGTCCATCCTTATACTCTCAACAAGTAAACTAAATCACATTTGTCCATCATTATACTCCCAACAAATAAATTAAATAATTTAGTCAATTTTTAAAACAAGCCAGTTATTTGGCCTCATAATCATGCCATTATAACCAATCCAAAATAAATTAAATATTAAATTTACTGTCATCCAAAGTGTACTAAAAATAGAAATAGTTTGAAAGGCATGATTACATTTATATATTCATATAATTGTCAATAAACAAAAAGCCCTGATATTGGCAATATAAAACATTATAAATCATAAATCAAATACCCAAAAGAGACAGTGGATCTATGCCACTAAGCCTCTGGGACTCCTCCACGTGTCACTCGTGGCTCTTCTCCTGAAAATTGTTAATCACATAATGAGACTCAAAAGTCTCAATAACCAAAGCCAATTTATGATAGTATATACAAACAGTTAAGTGTGCTCTTATTAAGTGAGAATTAAAAATAATATAATTCCAACAAATATAAGAAATATTACAATACACACAAATAACCATCTTTATATCCCTCCATTAACCTCGAGCCGTAGCCCTTACTCGGTGCTAAATTACCCGGCCAAAGGTAGATTAGCCCGAGCCCTTACAAGCCATCTATTGAGCTCCAATAGGGGCGTACCACATGGCACATGAATACAACAACAATAGCAAGTCTTCCAACACCTCCCACAATAATCAAATAAATTCATAATAATATTGCACAATTATACAATATTACAAAATTCATAATTTTCTCAATAATCACCCAATTAACATGAAATAACACTAATCACAAATTAAAAGCATGGTTACCTCGTGGTTTTTTCAATAAATTATTCCTTACAATTTCTCTCCCATCACAATCTTCACCAATAATACAATCTACAAATAACATATTATTTATAAATATTAGTTTCAATTTTTTGAAACTAATAAAATAATTCTAATAATAGAATTAAAAATATAACATAATTCCTAATCTCAATCTTAATACAAATCTAGAGTTAATACTATTAAGTAAAATTTTTAACTCCTCTTTTAGTCATCAATAAACATTAATAATCTAAAAATCAACTTCTAAACTAATTTCTATTATCAAAATTTTCTTTTTATTTTATAAATTCGCACCTAAAATACCCAAAAATTAAAAATTGAGTCTCTAGCTTAGAATCATAATCCTATAGCCATAATAATTCATTTCTCATCCCAAATAATCATCTAAACCTCAATAAATCAACATATATTTTCAGATCTAGTTTAGAATTTGATCCATAAGCCACAAATTCAAAGATTATCAACAAATTGATACTCTAGAATATTTATTATACTACTAACAACCTCATAAACCATATTTATTCAACATAAATTCATCCCTCTTCCAGATCCTAAATTTTCTACCACACAAAATCAGAAATTAAAGAGAAAGGATGACTAAGAAAATTTTTTAGAATACTTACTTAGTCTTAAAAAATTTAAAATCACACCCTAAATATCCTATTAAAAACTCTTACCTTAAAATCCAGCACCGGCGAACTTGGCTCACAGACGCTCTCTCTGCCTCAGCTTGCGCACAGGGAAGAATGAAGAAACGAAGAAGTGAAGAAAAAAGGAAGGAGGTGGGTTTTTATAAAAAATTCAGTGGGTCCCATTTTTTTTATTATTTCTTCTTTCCTCTCTCTTCTTCTCCTTTTTTTATTATTTTATACGCATGATTACACGAAGAGCACCGAAAGGAGAAACCACTTCTTCTTCTTCTTCTTCTCTGTTTTTTTTAATACCTTTTCTTTTTTTTATAATAATAATAATTTAATAATATTTTTTATTTATTTTTATTTATTTTTTAATTTTAATTTAGAATTATATCCTAAGTTAGATTTAATAATCACCTCCTACTAATTTATTTACCTCTAAATATTCTTTAAAATTTTTATTAACTCAAATTAATTATTAGAATTTAAATTGGGATGTTACATATTTCATAAAGAATATTAACATATTAGCATTTTGGATGTACTTTGCGTTTAGTGGTTTTTTTTCTGCCCAAGAAGCTTTCTAGAATTTTTTTCTTAAATATAAAAAATTATTAATATATTTTTTAATGAATAGAACATTATACTTTTATTAAATTAGAAAAATAAAAAGATAAATATTTTTATTAATTTTATTTTAATTTTTTTAATAATTAAAAATAAAATTAAAATGTTGTTATAATTTTAATTACATAACAACTTTTATTAATTTATATAATTTAATTAAAAATATTTTATATATAAAAACAAGAAAGTATGTGCATAGTCGAGTCAATATTTGGCAAAAAAAAAAAAAAAGCTTGAAGTTACTGAGTACGTTTCTCAAGCCGTGATTGGTTGGCAATAAATTATCGGGCTCCGCAGTCCGTCTCCTGTCATGGTTGAAATTGAACTTGTGTGATTCATGAGGTGGCCTTAGCCCATGCCCATCCATACGGTCTTGTTCAGTACTTTTTATATTTTGTTTCAATGTTTTGAAATTTGAATGGAAAATAAGAATGAGAAAATGCTATAAAGGAAAAACAGAAAAACGATTTTTTATTTTTTATTTTGTTTTAATTAAATAAAGAAAAAAATTTAAGGTGTTTGTTGCGCACTAAAGCCCAAAATTTCAACCCTTCATTTGGAGGGATTAGAAAAAATTATTCCTCTCACCATTAGCTAAACTGAAGGTATGGAATTAGGGGACTTGATTCCTCTCCAATTTCTCATCCATCCACGGTACATTTTAGCTATTAGATTACATTTTGAACAATCCAGGTTTATTATTTAAAAAAAATTACAATTAAATTACAAAAAATAAATGTAAATTGTTAAACCTTAATCAGAACACTTCAAAACTTTAATAAAAAATATTAAATATACATATTCTAAATATTAAATTTGACCCATTCAAAATTTAATTTAATAGTTAAAATATGCTGCGAAAGAGAAAGTTGGGAGATACGTGAAGGCTAGGAGAAGCTGAATTTGAGATTTTGGACATAGAAGCAGTAGCGAGGGCAATAGATACGCCAAATCTTTTGCTTTTTCATTTGTTTTTCTCCTCCATGTTCCTCTGATCTTATTTATAAGATTGAGAGATAAGTTATTTTTATCTTATTTATTAAATTTTTATAACAAAATTTTTCCTTTTACCCTTCACTAAATATTGAGAGGAGAAATATATTATTAAAATATGTACATTTTTTATAGGGATAAAGTTAAGAATTTATTAAATTTTAAATAGAGTTAACGAGTTTAAAAGTTTTTTTTAATTCTAGTGAAATATGTTGAAAAATACTTATAAATAGGACCACACGAGTATTTTTCTCCAATCCGAGACAGAGCATACATGGCATAACAGTCTTTTTAATTCTGAAATTGGGACATTATTACAAAATGACAATCTATCTTTTGATGATTAATTACGCTCTAATGATGAGAATCTCAACTGTAATAACTGGGAGTGACACAAGACTTGTTTAAATCACTATTAATCTGCACCTCATTTTTTTAGCATAACATTTTATAACATAACAGTTATTATTAATAACAACAGACAATAATAATTATTCTTCTAAACTGAACATAAACCAAAGTGATCATTCATAATATATAATTGAAGTTTCTCAAGCTAGATCAACAAAAGCTGGTCCAATTGGTAATGATTTGGCTCATAATCAATTGGATTGTGAGTTCAAATCTCACTGTCGATGTGAAGACTTTATTGATAGATAATATGTAAATATTTTTATAGGCGCCTTTTGAGTTTAAAGACATGCCTTGACCAAACGAGCAAGTCTTAGGGATTTATCTTACCTAAACTTTTATCTATCTAAAAAAGATTCTCAAGCTAGCATTGGAAACAAGGAGCTTAAACAAACTGAATATGGACAAACACTAGAAATATATAAAAATGCGCGCTCTTGACATATGAAAAATGAGCCCTAATTAATAATGATGTTCTTCACGTACTAGCAATTTTATTATCACATGCGACAGCACTACAGCTACTCGAAAATGTGAAAAGCTAAATATAGTATTGGTGTTGTGACACAAATAATCCCTAACGTAAAAAAACAACCAACAATCATGAAAAGCACAGAGAGAAATCCGCCACGTCCATTTTCCCTTGCCCAACTTGTTGACTTTTCGATTACCATGAAACATTTTTTGCCCATCCAAAGGGAAAAACGAAGTGTGATTACCACTCGTATTAGCTCAAGCAATCCAGCCCAGACCTTAAGAAACGCTACATTCGTCATGGTTGAAATTGATTTCTTCTCCATAATATGAGACGGGACTATAATATTGATGGCAGTAATGAATGCAAGTGCAAGGGAAGAGAGGGTGATACACATGCCTGTTGACAGCAACCATATCACAACTTTGTTCCTCATCGGAAAAATCCCACTCACAAGAAAGAGGGTGACACTAAGTGATGAAAAAAAAGAGATGGTCAGGCAAAACACATACTGCTCAAAGTCCTTGTGGTCCGGAAAGGATGAGATTGCTTGTCCGGGACAATACGTTTGATTGCCAGAAAGGACGGTGCAATTGAGGACTCCATTTGATGAGGTAGTATTTTCTCCAGATAACAAGCCTTGCTGAATAAAACCACCAGGTGGGTTAATCAAAGCTTGAAAGGTTATAGTTGCTATCACGGTAGACACCAGGCTCAGATTCCCCCTCATCTCTTTAAGCCAATCATCACCCTCACCCATCAACCAATTTCTAAAACCATTCGGAATATGCTTGAAGATATTCATAGATGGTAGTGATGGTGGTGGTGGGTGTGACTGTGGATTATCAGCTTGGAATCCTTCGTTTTCGGCCTTTATTAACATGTGTTGTATTTTGCAGATTTTGAAGTCATTTGGACTACGTTCCAGGGTATCATGGACTGTAAACTCTATCTCTCTCCTCAAGTCTGCTATTTCTCTTATTTGTGGAATTGACAGCAGATAGTTTACCACCTAAATAATTAAAACAGGAATTGTTAATTTGCGTTGTTAATCATATTGAATAAGCTATACTAGGTACTAGTTTATGTGGTAGAAGTGAGGTGAGTAATGGTAGTGATTACTGATTAAGATTCAAGTCATCTTGATATCACCAAAACTTTTATATATACAAAAGAAAACAGAAAGGACGATAAAAGAGTTAATATTGTACCTCAACTCGCTCCAACCTGATAGCAAAACTAAGAAGGGTGTTTCCAGCATCATGATAGCTTGTGAAGTTGAGAAGCTGGCCAGTAATGGTAGACTCCAATTCCACCAAAGCTTTGAGAGTCTCCAGATGGTTGTACATGACACACAAGTGAACCACAGTTTTACCTTGGTGACGAAACTTCAGAGACTCTGGCTTTGCCCTGATCAACTCTTGCACAACCTCTTTCCTTCCTCTCATAGCAGCATAGTGCAGAGGAATTCTGGCTTCTTCATCGGGAAACAAACACAACTCGTTATTAGCTTTCAAAAGTTCCTCCACGATGTGGAAGTGACCCTCTGCAGAAGCCAAGTGGAGAGCTGTCCTTTGGGAGGAATCCACCTCAAGGGCTAGAGTAGGTTTGTGTGCGAGAAGTTTCTTTGTAAAATCAAGGTGACCATGCAAAGATGAGATGTGTAAAGGAGTATTTGCGAAGGCAGTTTGTGAAGTGTTGTACAAGACATGTCTGTGTTGTTGTATCAATCAATCCAGCGTTGATACATCCCCACTATATGCTGCCTCATAAAGAAGGCTCATTTGGCCAGAAATTGTGATTTCTTTGAGTTCAACTTCCATATCTCTCTCTTGTTAGATGATGTATCATCACACAATGCCCTTTATATAGACGGCTTATTAGAAACCCTACCTCTCATTCCCACTCTTCCTTCCAAGTCCTACCTAACTTTCAGCAAGGATGATGGATTTCTGATCTTGCATTCATGATCGATACATCTATTATTAATTGGTTGGAAGCATGTATGAGAGCAATTGTATTGAAAATTCAATAATTAATTATTAAAGCTACTTGATTGATACTCCCTGATACTTTTAATCCCCCAATTTCTGATCAACTATAGGGATGTAATTGCCAATATAAATAATCATCGCAACCTGGTTGACTCCATCGGTCAATATATCGACATGGCAATTGAATAAGTGATCGAGATAACTTTTTATATATATTTTAGAAATTGTGGCACATCACGGGATAATTTTTTTTTTTCAACACTATGAATATATCAATAAATATATTTTGGTCCAAAGAGTAAAAAATTCCTGACGTATATAGAAAGAGCAACAAAAATATATAGACGGTGAATTGAAAGGTTTTTAAGTAAAAATATATGTAATAATATCATATGTTTTCGGCATGTGTGTTAAGAATGGGATACTTAATTAGGCGAAGAAGGAGAAGTTACCTTGGTTGCATGGTCGTTTTATTTCACAAACTTTAAATCATGTAAGCATATGTTATATATATTTTTCATCTATGAAATAGCAAACGAATCATTAATATAAAGAAGATTTAACACAAATCTAAAATTTTAGGCAGTTAAAAAGTTATAGTTCGTAGCTGGTCCTGAAAAAAAAAATTATATTTTGTACTTTCTTTTTCATAACATATATTTTCTACTTTCCTAATATTTGGAAGCAAAAGAAAAAAACATTTATACTTTTCAGCAAGATGTCAGTTTCCAATCACAATGTCCACATACGCAACTAATTCATTGGTTGGATATACGATGGTTGAAAATTCAACTATGTTCATTCACACATCTCTTTTCCTATCGAAAGTGATTAAGATATGAGCATTCAGAGATTCCTTTTCGTCACCGATGGAAGGTACGCACCATTCCGTTTTTATTTACAAAAAAAAAACTATTATTTTTTACTCATTTTTATATAAGCAAAATTATATATTTCAATAAATATTTATCATATATTTTTTAAATAACTCTTTATAATTTATACTAACAAAAAATAATTAATGCATATTTATGTTGAATAATATAGAATATTTTAGTTCAATTTCTTTATTTTTAACCATAATCATTATGATTAATTAATTTTTTTAAACTGATATAATTTTATATATATATATATATGTATATATATATATATATATATATATAAGGAGTACATCATAATAAATACAACGCTCTGTTTTTTAGTACCTGTTTCATCTTTCTGTCTGGTAGGTCACCGCACATACATTTACCAGAAGAAGTAACAAATTAATTTTTGCTTCCAAAATAACGGAGCTTTGAATTTGTGTCAAACGGTATCCAAGGAGATTTTACCATTAATTAATAGCGCATATACTTTCACTGTTGTGTTAAAATGCAACCAGTAAGGTTATTAAACTCGTGAATTTAAATAAATTTATAATAAGAATGTAAACTTGTATCATAAAATTGAATCATAAATTCATAAAAGTTTACCTCTATTAATAAATAGTTATAAAAATATAATTTTAATTTAATTTAAATATATTAAAAATATAAATCATTGAAATTAAACCTATCTATATTGATAAATTATCATATACAAGAGATAAAAATTTTAAAATAGGAAAACTTATTTATTATATTTTTTATTTTTATCAATATTAGTTTTTGCTTATCAAGTTTTTTTCTTTGAACTATGTCTTATAACTTTTATAAACTAAATTTTTCATAGTATATACTTAACTTGCTCAACTAAAAAAATGACGAGTTTAACAAATTTAACTAAACTTACATCTAGTTTGAGTTTGTAACTTAGTTGACATGCTTTTATAAGTTAAAAATGTAAAAACGATAAACTCGAGAGTTTAACTGAGTTTGTATCTAGTCCGAGTTTATGAGTGAATTGACACGATTTTGTAAGCTAGAAATCTAAAGACGTTAAATTCATAGGGTTAATTCGAGAGTTTGACAACTATGCAACCAAGTTTAACTATTTGTGAACCGGTAAACCAATTTTCTAAATGGTTCAATCAAAAGTGCGAGTTATTGGAGTTAAATAATTTTTTTTCCTTTCCTAAACCTAAAGTGACATTATCTTGAATTAAGAAATGAAGGAAAAAAATCAATTTGTTAGATATTTATACTTTAATAATTCATATTTTGTTAGACTATATGTGATTTATACATAAATATTTTATTTATTTATGAATTCATATCTTTTTATTTAGATATTATTCTTTAAGATTAGTATATATGAATATTTTTATATAATTTAATTTAATTATATTATTTTGAATACAATTGGATTCTGGTCATTTATTTGTGTGGTGGTTCTCTATTTTGAAATAACAAAAAATTGTCATCTATCTTGGGTGCACACATATAAAACAGGGTTAAACCTTAAAGGTTTTTTTTTTTAATTAGAAAAAAATTAATCATTTTGTCTTTATAGTTCTGACCCAATTGTAACTCAATCCCTCAACTTTGACTCGTTATAACTCAGTTCCTAAAATTTTAACTTAGTTATTAATTAATTCTTAAATTTTATCTCTAATAATTTAGTTTCTGAAGTTTTAACCTATCCTTATATTTTAAAAATAAAATTATAAAGATAAAAAATATTTTAAATTTTTAATCTTTATAATATATAAAGATTAAAAGGGTTTAATAATTTAAAATGTTACTAATAAAATTTAAAATATTTTTAATTTTATTTTTTAAAATATAGGGATCAATATTTAAAAGATTGAAATTTTAGGAACTAAATTACAAAAGGTAAAATTTAGGAACTTATTCACAATCAAGTTAAAACTTTAAAAATTAAATTATAACGAGTCAAAATTCAGGGACTGAGTTACAATTGAGTTAAAACTACAAGAATTAAAAAATTAATTTTTCCTTTTAACTATTATAAAGCCTTAAAGGTTTCGTATCCTCTCAACGATTCCTCTATAATTTATCATAAAATTATAAAAATTATAGAAATTAGCCCATAAAATTATATATAAGTATAAAAAATTAGTACATAATTTATGAAATTTTTTCTATAAATTTTAATTTTTTTTATAATTTTTAATCAATTAATACTTAATAGTTAAAATTATTTTTTAACAATAAATTGCCGAGTACTGTATTTTTAAATGTTGCAAGAAAATATTGAAAATAATTAAATGGTAAAAATGATTTTTATTTTTTTATTTTTTTGGTCGAACAATGACTTTTAATACTACAAAACAAAGCGATTTGGCCCTTTACTTCGTCGTCCGTATGCACACTTGCCCACCCTTCCTGCACGGAGTGATAAGTGGCGTCCACCTGTCTCATGAGCCCCTCTCTAATCTTTATTCGTACGTAGAATGCGGGACCGGTTTTAAATATGACGGTTCCAATTCCAATATTAAAAATTATACTCGAATTTTTTAGAGAAAATTAACTTAAAGGTCTCAAAAAATATAATTACTATAAATAATGGATGAGATTTTTAAATATTTTAATATATGATCCATTCATAAAATTAATTAGATGTGTTTTTCTTTTTTATCTTCAGAATATATTTATTATTAAAACAGAATATATTTGATTTAATTAATCTTTAACTGATTGGATCTTTTATTTTTATTATCAAAAATCATATTGTGCGTGCTCCTTTTCTGATTTATCATCTCTAAATATTTTCTTCATTAGATTTTTAGATCTGATTTTTTTGAATCATCATATTTATCTCTCGTACAGTGCTTTTTTTTATCAGAATTTTTGATCTAATTTACCCGGATCACCATCTTTATCATAGAGTTTTTCCTCTCTCTCCCTCTCTATTTTTTCTAGATATTATGAAGAGAACATTAAACATTAAAAAAAACTCCATTACTAATCTGCGATATGACTATATATTAATGATAAACAAATTTATAAGTTTTCACTGATAAGGCTTAATATCAGTGATATATAATAATATATCACTGATATACTATCGTAGATCAACATAATCAAACAATTAGACATAAATTTATTTAGAATTAATATACAGTCGTATATCAATGATGTAGTATAACAGATAGTAACACAAAAAATACATAATTATTTTTCCTAAACAAATCAAACAAAATCTCAGAAAACTCTTGCTTGAACTCTGGCTCTTGTAACAAAGTTTGACCGAACTTTCTCACCCTGAATTTGCAGCCTTAGTGTGGCTTTGTGTAGAAGCTTCAATTTCGAACTTCCTTACCTCACATTCATGATTTTTCAACCTGAATCTGTAGCTTCCAGTTTGCCTTCCCTCACATTCTTGTGATCTCTTGGCTGAATTTCTAACTCTGTTTAATCATCGGTATGAGCTATTTCATTGTCTACTGTTGACTGAGAGTGCAGTGTCATCTCCATGTCTTCAGGTGGGTGAAAGCGAAATCAGTGTGAAAAAGGAGAATCAGGGGATTGTGATGTTTAAGGGTAGTTTTGTTTTTTGTATCAAAGGTAAATTAGAAAATGATCATTATCTTAATTTAAAAAAAGGTGGGTTATTAGTTTTATTTAACCATATAATATTAGTTAAATTTGCTAAAGCCCCAATTTTTTAAGGAATTGAATATTTAAAAATATAAATATTTTTAATCTTTTGAAATATAATTATTACCTTTTTTTAAAATGTTCTATTGATAATAATTTTATATTTATTATAAGATGTTTAACAGGGGTGAATATTAAAAGATGTAGTTAGTTTAAAAATAGATAATAATTTTATTGGGGATAAAATTTAATTAAAAATACCTTACATTTTTAAATGAAAGGAGTAAATAATATTTTATTTGCATAAGTTTTGGGTGGAAGCAAGGGCTCT